AAGGGGTACCACCAGCTGGTCTCGCAACTTAACGTATGGGCCACGTGGCATTCAAAAGCCGCTACAGGTCTGAATGAGTGCTAAGTGCTTGGAAGATTCCAAAAAAAGATAGTCAGCGTCAAGAGCTTTATCCTCGGAACTATCTGTCACACATTTTGGGCATGCTTGAAGTGAGCTCCTCTGAGGAGCCATCTTTGCTGTAGCTGCTTTCTCTTCTTAAGTGCCTATGTACGTTAATCTGCCGTGACAACGGCCCTGTGGTCCCCACATCAACCTGCAGGGTAGAGTCACGTTGACGACATTCAGAGCCACCGGTGGCTCATAACTTTCTCCATCACTTTTCGGGTTACCGGCTACCAATCGATCTTTTTCCTGCTTTCGAATAACCTGTGAAAGGTAATTGTCCAAAGCGATGAGCAAGAAAAATGTTGCTGCCTCCATGGGATATTTTAAAGACGATCTAAACTCTTCAGACGATGGCTCGAGTGCAGCACAAATTGGAGAAATGGAAACACTTTTTGGTGATAAAAATTTGCACATCAACGAGAAGGGCACCAGTGTTGTCAAGAGAATAGAAGAGTGAGTTCAGTTTCTGTAACTTAGTACGTTAGGATTTAAAGAGGAGATGCTGCGCTTACTGTAAACCTTAATCGCTGGAAACAATAATTTTAATTTCATTGGAATTAATTGGCAAGCGCATAAGGGTCACGTTTGCAACAAATTTAATCCAGACCTCATGGTAGGAATGTGTGAATTTCGGTGTCAATATGACCACCTTCCCCTACCACAAGAAGGTTTGACCACAACCACATTTTTCCTCCACCCAGCATCTTGCTGTCAGGGATAGAGGGGATACAGCGCACCTGATAGGAAAAATCAAGATTCAAGAAAAATCGCTTGACGCCAGATACAATTTCCCCCCTTCCCACTCCCAACGACCAAAAAACGACCCTCAATATTCCGGTAGATACATCTACAGCCTTAGGAAGAGGGAGGAGGGTCGTATGGAAAATTTTCCGTGAAGAGGGTCACACCGACCGGGCGATTTTCTAAGTGATGCTTAACCCTAGTTGGAACCAAGCTATCTTCCTGAATAAGTCTTTATACAAGTAATGCGTCTTGATATGTCCCGGCTTAGTCCTTATGGTGTGAACGCCGAGCAAATATTTGACAAAATCCATGCGAAAACGCCGACGAAAATCTGTTCTCATTTTTGAAGAGTGGGACTATAGAGTGTTGAGAGTGCAAAAAAAGTACTATTGAAATTCGTTTCTCTTGTTTTTCATAAATGTTTTATAACGTCAGTATTTTTGCTCAACTCAAAAAAGAAGTGGCGGACATCGACAGTGAAGTGGCCACTCGCAAAGTAAGTATTTGTGATACCCTTCTATGTAGCGCTTCAATCCGTTTCGTGTAATTTCAGACCAAGTCCCAAGCAGTAGTGAAAGAGGAAAAGCCGGACGATGAGAATCCAGTCGTGACACGATTTTCAATAAGACAACGTGCTTTCACATCTGCTGTTAGCTCGCATAGAGAGAAGCGATTCGGACAAAGTTAGTGTGTTTTTTCCTCCATAGACGTGATCACGAAGGAGTTACATATGTCCCCGGGGTTCTGGACGCAAGCGCCATGGGACGCCCAACCACTGCCGATACCTCTTCGGCTTTCCTTCTAACACCCTTGAAAAAGAAGGATGCGCCAGCGAGGAAAGCACATTGCTGAGCTCCACAAGCGTGACCTGCCTGCGCCTTGAAGACAAACTGTACACCCACCCCCGAGGACGTTCCTTTCCAAGTATGAGGTGGAAGGGTCCACAGCTGCGATAGCCTGCCACTTTCTGCGCTCAAAAGGCAAACAGGGTAGTGATACCCTGTAGCTGTCTCCATACTCCGCTCCCGCTACCCTCAGTGTGCAGAACTTGCATCGTTATCGAATTCCCGCGGGGAAAACCCAGACAGAGGTTGAGGACAACTGCAGGTGAGGTCTGAC